TTGATTATTCAGTACCGCACCGTTCTTCTTTTTTCCGCATTCATTTTTTCAACTGCTTTCTCGAATTTTCATAGTTAGGGACATTTAGATTTCTCATTCCGAATGATGTTAGTAGTAAATAAGTCCAGCGTTCTCACTTTCGCCCCCAGGCAAGGCAGAAAAGAAAGAAAGCAGAAAAATACGTAAAAATCTCAGAAGAAAATATCTTCATTAAAAAATTTTGTGAAAGATGATTAGAAAGAAAACCAGAAATCTCCATACAGTTAAAACAATTGAAAACGGAGCAAAAGTCGTTCGTTATAAGAGTTTTCTACGCAAAAAAAAAAAAAAAAAAAAAAAACAAAAAAAAAAAAAAAAAAAAAAAAAAAAAAAAAAAAAAAAAAAAAAAAAAAAAAAAAAAAAAACAAAAAAAAAAAAAAAAAAAAAAAAAAAAAAAAAAAAGCAATTATTCGGCGCCAGGAGGGGCTGAGAAGAAGTAGAGAAAAATGGAAAGGCCAGCAGAGATTTTTTCAGTGGTGCACAAAACTTGAAAAAGGTTTGACTTTTTTGGCCCCACATTCGGCAAAAAAAAAGGCCACTCTGAAGGTGCAGAAAAGAAAACTGACTTTCATTCCCTACTATTCCAACTAAGTTTTCACATGTAAGTAAAAAAAATATTCTAAGATGTGTTTGAATATGGTAAAAAAAATAAAATAAAAATTTGGCTTAGCGCATTTTTGTTTTATATTTTTAAACAACTTTTGAAATTCTTGATAAGGGGTCCTACAGTTATTGCGAATTGCACCAATTAACTTAAAGAGCATTAGCTTTTAGAAGAACTTAAAAAAACGAGTGTTTTCTTCTTAGATAGATATAAAAACACTATTAAATTTGATCATTTTTTTTTTTTTTTAAATCACACCAAAATGCAACAATTCCCCAACATATTTAAGGGAATATACAAAAAAATGAGCTCCTGAGCCGAGTGTTAAGAAAGTAAGAAGTTTAAGTTAAGAGTGGGTAGGTGGAGCTAAAGTAAGGTAAGAGGTGGGTATTATACACTGAAAGAGTGACAAAAAAGTCCATGGAGATACCTTCCTTAATATTTGTCGTCCCTCCTCTTTGCCCGTCGAAAAAGAAAGAACCAGTGCAAGCAACTCGACGTGGCATGGAAATCAACAAGGTCGTTGAATGTGAAAGTCCCCCTGCAGCGAAAATAATAGTGAGCCCCCATGCTGCCTCCTCTCATTAGACGGTCATAATTGTGAAAGTGTTTTTTTTTGAAGGTTCGGTGGCAGGAGGGGGTTTTGGCAGGGGGTTTTTTTTTGGGCAACACGACGAACTGACCCACCTCTCGAGATTTTGTCCCATTAAAGTTCGATGGGGGGATTAATTGTCGGGCGATCTAAGTTTCTAGGTGGCCCCAGATCCATTGCGCAGGATAAAATGTCCAGAATGTCTTATAACAAATCGATGACAAAAATTTGTGATCCGGTGACATGCATGCAGGCGCATTGTCCCCGTCCATTATTTTATTAAAAATACATCGTTGTGTTTGTTGAGTACCCGTGAAGTCAAATTGAATGGCGTTTTATTTGTGTTTTTGGTTGTTGTAAAGTGCTACAAGTTAGCTGCTGCTGGACGAAAGGGTATCCAGTTCCAGGTCAATGCTCGGTTCAGTTTTTTTTGCAACCAGAAAGGAAGACCAACCGAAGAAGTCCATCGTGCCATGTTTTTTAGGTGTAAAAACCAGGCAGACCATGATGGAACCACCACCCAGCTGTTGACACAGTTTTGGTGCCTTTGTTGTGTTGACAACACTTGGGGTCCCCATGGCTCTTCGCTCTCTTGCAGGCGGCAGGCGATGTTCGTGCTTTTGTTAGTAAAAAAACTTGTTAGGAATTAGTAAAGTAAAGTTGGGTTTAGAAGTTATTTTAAAGGCAAAAAAAAACTCGAGGCGGTCTCTGCTGGCCAGATGCCCAAGGAAGACACAAATTTCCTTCGCCCCGCACTGGTCCTATCGGGACAACGTTCCCCCCTCGTACCACGTTCCACATGATTGCTGCGGTTTTTATTGACGCAGTGTTGCTTGCTGTCTGTGAACCATTGACAAAACTCTAAGCAGACCGTCGCTTGGTTTTTCTCGGTCGTTTTTAAACGTTTATTTTTTTAAAGTTGCAGGGTGGTCGGCGCCACCTTGTGCGCTTGTCCATGGTGGTATGTTTTTTCTTGATATGGTTAGCCCTGTGAAATTAAAAATACTCTGTCGGCACACTCTCTTGACAAGTGGGGGATCTCGGAATGTGAAATTCCCTAACGAATCTGTCCGAACCGAAAATGGAATTAATGATAATGAACCCATTGCGTCAGCTCCAAATACACATTCAGCATTTTTCAAAAGTCTTGGTTTTAATTCTCGTCGGTTTTGTGGCCCCATATAATACACCGTCAAAGCTCGGAAAAGGAGGAAATAGAAAGTGGAACAACAAGGAAGGGGAGGGGAAAAAGACTGAAAAGAGGAGGCACTCCCAGAAATGGGCCCTTTCCTTTTTCCCTTCTTCCCTTGCCAACAAAGCACTTCAGCATATTTTTTATACAATATTTTCTCACGCGATTACTAATGCCCACCCCACTTATATTTTGCAAAATATTTGATTATCCCATATCATCAGACTTTTGGTCACCTTCCAAGGCGTAATATATAAACCATTGTACAAGCAATCTCTAAATTAATTATTTTTTAAAATTGGAATTAAATAATATAAAAGCAAAAGCAATAATTACCTTTCCTAATTCGTAACATAAAATAATTGCAACAGTGTAAAGAGGTTAACACAGTATCAAAACTAAGCAATTAAAGAGAGAATTCATAGTAGAATATCTCGAAAAAATAAAAATGCGAAAACTATATAACAAAATTATATAAATAAAATTAATTCCCTTTTATTGAAACTCCAATTGAGAACTCATCAGGAGAAAATGAATTAAAGCTTCATAAAAGTCGATTAATGTGTTTCTAAAATATGTTTTATTCTCCTGGTCATTTGAGATCAAAAACCGTAAAATAAGTCATCAAATGTTTATTAAAGACTTTCAGATTCATATAAAAGCGAAAATTCGAATTTCAAATGTACCAGAATTTTCCCTACACATATTCGAAACACTTGGATAAAAAGAATAAAACTTTACATATAGCCAAAATTGACAATTAAAAAACCATAGAACTTTACAACTTTTGGTTCGGCTGATTGCAACCAAAAAGGGAGGTGCACAACTAAATGTTCTAGCAGACTCACATACGAAATTTCAACTTCTGAGGCTACTCTTTTTGAGATATGCGAAATACATAGATACGTACGTACGTACGTACAGACGTCACGAAAAAAATCTCTTTGGAATTCATTTTAAATCGATTTTATAAACTGTTTGGGGGAAAAGCGCCCTTTATTCAGTTCTTACTTGCAGATGTCACGCAAAAGTATCGTTAAGTTGCATTCGAGAGCGGTCAAAATGGATATTTTCGTTGAAATATGATACCAGGAATTTTTCGTGATTGCAATATTCCTTTACTTCGTATAAGGAAGTAAAAAAAGTCTATAGCAGGTACATAATAATAATTTATATTAGGAACATCGTTACTGAACTAAAATAAATAACTCTGCAGTTGTTCATAGAAATAATCACTTATCTGTGTTATAAATTTAATTAAAGTTTCAGTTATGTGTACAAGATGATTGGTTACCGATAACCTACAGCTTAATGGTCATCTGTATGAAACAGTGCAGTATTTTGAATAATAACAATGCTTACGTAAATGTGAAGAATCAGTAGGTTGTATTGATGCAAGAATTTGAAAACATTTCACCGAGATTCGAATTCTGAACTTTCCGAATACGCGTCGAGCTTGCTTCCATTTACATTACGAAGCCATTCGGAAAGAAAATGCATTATAAATTCATAGGAACGTAATACAATCTCACGTCAAATATTACTGCAGATGGCCTGGGAGGACTTCCCTAAGATAGTTTCTAAATTCGAAACTAAAGATTCTGCATCTAGGCCTTAAAAACGTCATATCTTTGCCTTCGGTCTTTAGAGAAATTATGTTTTAGTTTTGGTTTCACCAACAGATGGCGCCACTAGCTTATTTTCTGTCCAGGCTTTCTTATCTTATCTGATCATTAAATCCTGTCTCGTTCATTTGCGCTTTTGCAGCTGAGGATGGTGGTTCGGCAAAACCATCGAAACTAGTCCTGTGCAAATTTGAAAATATAACGCTGATTTTTGTTGTTTGACTTCTGAATTAATACAGGGGTAGGTCTATTTAACATTGAGTCAATGGCTATCTCGCTAATTTGGCGAAATATCGCCAAGCAGGCAACGGTTTTGGTTCTAAACCGGAAAACGTCGCCAAACTTGGCGAACATTTGGTGACATTTGGGTCCGGTTCTTGTATCACCGTAATAAGTATTGTAATTGAATAATTGTGATTGATTTCATGTGTAACTGTAACTGTGGTAGACCCTCATATGTCGAGAAGCAGAAGGTTATAGAAATATCGCTGCGGCCGGGTGAAAACTATATAAAACTTTCAGTTGTTCTTGTTAGTTCAGAGCGATTTAGGAATATTGAAGGCTTCGCCTTTTAGATGCGCTTACTTTTAGATTGCGTTGTGTTTAATTTTCTTAATAGTTTGAAGTGCAACCACTGATTATACTCTGTGATACTGTGAACACTTTATAAGGTATTTCTCCCGTCTTCTTAGCATGCCTTCGTGGTGTGGTGGTCTGCACACTGGGCGCGTATTCCAGAAATCTGTGGTCCGATTTCCGGTGAAGGCGTTGCTCATTTTTCATCACTCCTGCTTCCAAAATACCTAATGTCTCTACAACCTGTGCGATTATTTCTGTGGAAAGTTCCAGAAGTCTGAAATGTTTCTTTGATAAAATAAATTTTATCAACCTATCCTCGGACGTGTGTGCATTCGTTCCATTGCGAACCCGTAATTTTAATAGAGTATTTTAATGCAGTGTCCCCTGAGCATTTCTCATGCTTTCTGAAACTATGGGTTATTACAATTTTAAGAAGTAAAATTGTGTTCATCAGCAACATATACCATGTAATAAAAAAATCAATAAAGTTTCATTACCTGCAACATACTGCACTATTCTGGGGCTTCTCTTTGTGTAGGGTACCACGGAAGTTTTATCGTCGACGAGTAAATTTTCCTGTTGCCTGTAACCTTCTCGTTCTCGATCGAGCCTCAAAGGTCCGTTTCTGCTGTCCTCCCTTTGCGAGTGTTGTTTTCGCGGCTTATTCAGTTTCTGTCGCTGTGTTGTCTTGTCCAAACGATTTTCGAAACCTCTTTCTGTGTTTCTGTGGAGATTATTAAATATGCACAAAAGAATGGATCTTAAAACGTATCTGAAGTCATGAAATCCTAAATTAAACTATAATGTCATTAAAAGTATTTTACCATAATTTTTTTCTTTTGCTATTTCGCTACTCAACCTGTGATTGTTGAGATTCGGAAACTTTTATTGATTTTCTGCAAAACAGTGTTATCTGCACTTTTTCTTTTAGTAGGTCACTTACAATCAAATCGATTATTTTAATATTTTTTTTAATTATAAATGTTTTAATTTGTTCGTTAAACTTATAGATAATAAAGGTAAATAGGGGAAAATGCAAAAATCTAGTGTGAGACGAATGTTAAATATTCTGATTGTAAACCAAAATTGCTTCAGACAAAATCTTGGATTGAATTCGAGAGACTTTGATTAAGGGGATTATACCCTTAAACCCTTATGATCTTCGAATATGTGATGTTGCAAGAAGTGGGGTATTTATTTTAAAAAGCAATTACTTCCAGCGTTTCACAGCTGACTACGTAATTAGCTGCTTTGGAAAATAGTAACCAGAAAGTTTTTGTGTGCCACAATATTTGTTTTAATTTCGTCCGCTTTGTGACAAAACTTTTCGTCGTTTCCACCTTGCGCTCATTTAAATGGCTAAGGACAACATACTTTTTGATTTTATTCTTTTTATATGGCACTATTTTCTAACTGAACCAAAAATCTGATGAATTTTTAATATTGAAAATTTTATGGATGAAAAAATGCGATTTTTTTAATAAAATACATATTATAAACTCAAGTCCAAATAAATATAATTTAACTGATTCTTAGGAATTTTTGGTTCACTACGATTATTTTAGAAAAGCTAAATATGGAAACTTATGCCACGAAAATAGCGCAAAGTATAAATGTTATTTTGGCATTTGTTTCTAAATAAACTTATTTCGTAAGTAACATCCGCTTGGTTGACGTGAAAAAACTTTTAATTTCCACCTAGATTTATCGCGTTCAAGAACTAATACCAAATACTAGTTTTATTGATTTTTTTTTTGTGTTTAATCTCTATTTTTTTTTTAAATTTTTTTTTTAAATTTTTTTTTTTTAATATTATTTTTTTTTTTTTATTGTTTTGTTTTTTTTATTTTTTTTTTTTTTTTTTAAATTAATACATATTTGTGCGCAACCAAAAACGTTCTAAGTTGCTAATTTAAGAGAAGCACCGCTATATTTGTAGTCACTCTGTTTAAAATAGTCGAAGTAGTAAAATATGCTTTAAATAAATTTTTTTTCTTTTTCATTAAGATTTGTAGTATATGTTACGCTATAAAACTTCTAAAGATTTTTTTTAAGAATTTCGAAGAATGCTTATTAAAATATTCTTCCAACGAAGTCTAACTGTTTTGTTTCATTTCTTGATTCGCCACCTCCTTTTTTAAAACAGTTTGAATTTCATATGTCAATCAACCATTAATTTTGATATTCTGCTAGCTTCCTTCGAGAGAACATTAGCATATCCACTAGCATTTAATCGCGGTTCTAAGATCAGTACCTATATTTTTTGTTTCGCAAATCTTTATTTTTAGGTTATAAAAACCTCTTAAGTTTGATCAATGCAGATCTATTCAAGATAAAAAGTACATGTTTCTTTTTTCTGTCTGTTATTTGTTTCTGTTTATTTACGTTTTCAGGAAACACTGGTTACTTTACAATTTGTCGTCTTAATGAAAGTCTTAAGATAATTGCAAGAATATTCGTGTGCTGTGAAGGAATTTTTACATGAACCGTGACGCTCAGCTGTTTCAGATGACCACCTCTTAAAATGATCAGCATTTCTGAGAAGCAAATAAACATCGATATTCAGTATTACCTTTTTTAAGATGATATCTACATTTATCTTAGATTCTCCTATATTATTTTATCCTTTTTTATCTTTTTTATCCTTATATCTTAGTTTTTTTATCCCCATTTTAGCTTATGCTTACTTTTACTTCACGGTTTGGTTTATTGTTACCTCAGGTTTTTGTCTGGCAGTTATTGTTGAGGGGGTCTGTCCTGGTGTCCTCTCTGCAACAAGTTGAAATGATCTGTAAAGGCCGTCAATTTGCCGTATCTTAGATTGAGTCCTTATTATTTTATCCTTTTTTTATCTTTTTATCTTTTATCTTTTTTTATCCCCATTTTAGCTTATGCTTACTTTTACTTCACGGTTTGGTTTATTGTTACCTCATGTTTTGTCTGGCAGGTTCTGTGTGCGTTCCTTCCTTCTGAGGGTGTCTGTCCTGGTGTCCTCTCTGCAACAAGTTGAAATGATCCCTGTAAAGGCCGTCATCGAATTTTGCCGTATCTTAGATTCTCCTATATTATTTTATCCTTTTTTTTATCTTTTTTATACTTTTATCTAGTTTTTTTTATCCCCATTTTAGCTTATGCTTACTTTTACTTCACGGTTTGGTTTATTGTTACCTCATGTTTTGTCTGGCAGGTTCTGTGTGCGTTCCTTCCTTCTGAGGGTGTCTGTCCTGGTGTCCTCCGTGCAGCGAGTTGAAATGATCCCTGTTAAGGCCGTCATCGAATTTTGCCGTGACTTCGGAGTTGGAATACTGGTTATAGATCGTTGATGGCGGAAATGTGTTCTGGTATGGCACAAAGTTGTGATAGAAAGACTGTTGAAAGCTGTTGTCATGTTGAGTCCGGATTAGAGGGAGGAAGGAAGACAGCAGTACCTAGAAGATGGGAGAAGAGTAAAACGAAATTAATTTACAAAGGTAGGCAATTTTTAAAAGATATCCTAAACTTGAAATACTTGTTTTCAGGTGGTTTTGATAAAAGTACAGCTCCATTCGACTTCTGAACATGAAGACATCAATATTTTCCGTAGCCACCATGGCTGAAAGTAATTACAGCGACAGACCTTGGCATGTTGCATCAAAAAAGAGGCTTATATGATATGCGTCTGGGATATGCCAGTATATATTTTTTCTACAGGTTGCCTAAGTTTATTTGGCATAACCGCATATGGTGTATGCTGGGCCATTCGTTTGGCAGACATCGATCAGACGTGCTTATTGGGCGAGAAAATGTGCGAGGCAAGGGAACAGTGCGACCTGCTAGGCGGTGAAGGATTGTTGAACTTTGCATGCAACGTGCAATTGTTCATTGTCCTCTTAAAACTTACCCGTAGCAATCCTCGAAGATAAGGGAGAACAATAGTCTTGATTTGAAATTTCTTGATTCGAGCATTTGTATGCGTTACTTCTTTTGCAATTTGAAAGAGTATAAATAGAAATTATTGAAAATAAGACTAACAACTGAGTATATTAAAAAGAGGACTATGCAAAGTAGCTTTCAAATTATATACGTCGCTAATTTAACCGTGACCATTCGTTTTTGTTCTAGATGTGAGCAACAAATATGCTTAATAATTTTGCAGCTGACCTAAAAAGGCGTTAGAAGTGTACTTTACGTATAATTAGTCATTGTATGAAAAACACATACTACAAAATGTTGTTAGTTAGTACACATAAAATGCTGATTCTGACAATTTACATTGTTTCCTTGATGAGAGACATCTACTGGAAATCTACTTTTAATCTACTGGAAAAAATTTGATGTGGACGCCACATGACTTCCTTATATGGCCTATTAATTCATACACATTTTTTGCTGCATTTCTTATTTAACCTCCAGTTTCATTAGAGATACATTTCTTATTCAATTAATTCATTTCTCCGTTCGCAGCGACGCAAAAATACATAAAAACTCAAAATATCTTCATTAAAAATTGTAAAATGCAGGAAAGCATAAAACACCAAATACAGTTAAAACAGTTAAAAAAATTACAAGTAAAATTAGAGTTTCTAACGCAATAAGAAGCAATTCGGCCAGCGGTGCAAGAAGACAAATCTTTCGGTGCACAAAAGTGAAAGTTTACTTTTGATCCCACTTGGCAAAAAGACACTGAAGGTGCAGAAACTAACCTTATTCACTATTCTACTCAGTTTCAAATGTAAACAAATGGCGGTACGTTAGGCTTAACTCGCCACTTAAACTTTTAAATTGATAAGTCTACAACTATTGCATGCAAATCAACTAAAGGCATAAAATCTTTAACGGAACATAAGAACAGCATAATTGAATAACTTTTAATTTTATTCCATGATGATGCAAATTAAGTCTTTTTTTTTTTTTTTTTTTTTTTTTTTTTTTTTTTTTTTGTAGACAAAATAGTTGTAGATTATAGTAAGCAACAATAAGAATTTTTATGTACACAGGTTAGAAAGTACGACGTCATCTTAGACAGGAAAGCATAGCAGCGCAAAGATGTTTGCTGGGCAGAAGTTAGGAAAAGGAATGACGTAATTGCTCGCGAAGCAACAGCTGGGCTGCGATTGGTTAATTTTAGGTTTTAGTTCCTTTTGCAAGCAGCGTTATGTAACGTGGAAAGATCTCGAATGTGGGAGAAAAGATGAATTTAGGGGGAGAACATAAAATCTAAAATAGTCAATTTTGAGGTTGCCAATCATTTCTTAGTGCATCCATCGTATTTTATAATATCTTTCGCACACTCACACGTAATTGAACGGGAGTTGGTTTGTTTCCCTTGAAAAGTCAACTAATTTCCAATCAATGACAATGATTACTTGCATTTAATTTAATTCTTGCTTTTAATTTATTCCTTTTACAATTGTTATTCATGATTTAATTCCAGTCCCCGTTAAACATTTCTAACAATTTACATTGAAGATACTTAAAAACATCTTTCGAAATAGGATTATTACTAAGTATGGATTCACTCTTTTCAGATCATTCTACTATAATTAATCTTAGGAGATAATATAATCAATATTATTTAGTAAATAAATAATTATTAACTTACTTTGCAGCAATTGCGCAAGTAGTAGAATAAATTAATTTCGCATTAAATGAATTTAAGATCATACAACATTATATATATATGGGTTTTTGTCTTGGGCAATCACAATTCCTATTCAAACAAAACACATTTAATGAAACATTAATACATTTATTAATATGTTCATTTATTAATATATATAAAACTTCTTAATATGACATTGTTCATCTTTTAACACATCTATGACATCGTACATCTCCTCTCATAAAATAAAGTGGCGAGAGTTCTATCAATTTCACTCGTGTTAAGCTATAGATTTAGAACCCCACATTTATATATATATATATGAAAGGGAGGTACACAACTGCATGTTACAACAGTCTCATATACAAAATTTCAACGTCCTCGATCGTTATGCGAGATCTATGCAAGTACGTACGTACGCACTGACGTCGAGAGAAAAATCGCTTCTGAATACATTTTAAATCCAATTTGCAATCAGTTTTCGCAAAAACAATCCTTTATTCTGTCCGTAGATGAGGATGTCACTCAAAAACATCGTTCAAATAGTTTCGAGAGCGATTGAAATGGATATTTCCGTTGAAATATAATACGAAATATTTCGTGATTATGTATACTTCCTTTACTTTGCACAAGGAAGTATAATTAAAAACCTTTATCGATTGGCATGTATGTATGTATTCTATGACGGCAATCATAGATGTTATTGAATAATACAAATAAAGTTTTAAAATATTAAGAAGGTCCTTTATCTCTTTTAAATGGCTCAATTGGTTAAGAAATAATCATTTGAAAGATAAATACTTGGCTACAGCTATTCGCCTTTTCCAGGCCTAATAAGCCTTCTGTCAAATCTTCCTGTAAATTTTATATTCGCTTGTTATTTGAATTCTACTTAATTCGTGCTATGATGAATGCTGACGGAAGAAATGGAAGTTACAGGAAAGCATTAGCATAAATTAGCATATTAACTAAATAAAATACAGAATTTAATACATCGTATTTCTAGGATTCTAAACGCACCCTTTTTCCTATTTCAATGTCGCTAAGAAAAATATAGTTTAGAAGAACTATTATTCCGGATTAATAATTATTCCAAAACGATAAATAAATATTTGCTAAACATATTTTCCCATTTTATTTATATATACTTCTTTCTTCTTCTTTCAAATCTTTCGAATTATTCTGTAGGTAATAATAATAATAGAAAAACTTTTATATAAAATTACAAATTTTTAATTAAAACAAAATCTGCGTTTTTAATGGAAAATTGATTTCACCCTAAAAATGCATGAATTTTTATTTTTATTTCTAAAGTCAAAAATAGATTAGAATTGATTTCGAATAAAATAGAAAAAATATTATAAAAAAAATCTAAACTAGGTTTTTATTCCAATTTTTGAAAAAATATTAACTTTTACACACACAACAAAAAAGATAGGCAAATGTATGTAATAACAATTTTATGTAATAATACATACCTTATAAACTTGTTCAAACAATTTAAAAATTTGAATACATCAAAATAACAACAAAAACAAAATCAAAAATTCGTAAACACAAATGATGTCGACACCCTACACATCAGTTCACAATAATGACCGTTACACCACACTCAAACTTTCAAAACTGCCAAATGGCAACTACATGCATTTAAGGGTTAAGAATATAATTTGCAAAAATACACCTAAAGTAAAATCCATAGCTTATAAAGAAGATGCAAATAAAATATTGTAAATGGAATGCATGGACTGCTAAAATTTTTCCTCAATATAATTTTTCATATTTGCGCAATAATTCAGATATTTTATATTTTCTAATTAAAAAAAAAATCTGAAATGTTTCAAATTTTAAATTACGTCCAAAGGGGCGTTTTTTAACATTTTGTGTGTTACCTTTCTTTATTAAATATCATGTTCCTCGCACTTAAACCATAAGATCCAGTGCAACAGCAATATCGCAAAATAGTTTTAAAACGAGCCTATCTTTAGAATTTCCGATACAGAGACTCACGCGCTGGAGATAAAAATGTTTTTTTTCTGCACAACGTTGCCATTGCTCGCTTTGAAATCCTTGAGTTTGTTAATCAAAAATTCGTCAAAGTTTTAAAAAATAGGAAATCGATCATAAAACAAATTTCAAATTTCAAATTTGGTCTTCCACATGCTCATATTCGTTGGAGGATTACGTTATTCAAAATTCGATGACTCTATGTACCGTTTGTTTTATCACAATACGAGAAATATACATACATTTATGCAGATTTTTCATTATTTAATTTCTTCAAATATAATGCAGGACTCTAACATTTTGTGGCAACAGTTTGAAAAGTGAACCGACATTTATGAGTCCGACGCAAAATGCCAAAACGAAACTAATAGTCCTTCGGGATTCAAATCCCTTTGGACTAAAAAAAACAAGAACGTGGGGGAGGGAAGAATATTTCAAGAACTATCATTTATAAATATAAAAAATACAACGCTGTTCTCTTTAAAAGTATAAGAAAATCTGAAATGTATTTATTTTATGAAATGACATGACTTAAGAAGTGAAAAAAGTTATAAAATGGTATCGATGGTTAAGGTACTATCAAAACTCCAACATTCGTAATCTTTTCCAAGCGAACACTTCTTCCGGACATGAATAAAATTTATGTTTCCAAACAAAAACTGTTATCCTTTTTTTTTTTTTTTTTTTTTTTTGTATTTGAATGTAAAAGATTCAAATGGCAGAAAAACTGCAAAGATTCAAATTATCGAATTTTAAATATCCGAATCTTTTTTAATATTTGAAGATTCTAGTGTTCCATGTATAGTTATAAAACTTTGTAAAAGTAAGAATATGCTATACGTTACCAATTTCAACATCTTTGGGGTTTCTTCCTCTGGTTTTGCTGTATTTCTGCGTCAGAAGGCTTATATACGACCTTCTGAAGAGAGCAGGATCTTGGGTGACTTTCGGGGTTGTTGCGTGAGCACCTTGTTCAAATGGGCGACCGTGAAATTTGAACACGATTTGCTTTTATTCTTGCTCATTTAGAGCGCACCTTTTTTTTTTTTTTTTTTTTTTTTTGGGTCGAATGAGTGCTTTGGCACAATAGGCAGCTCCGTATTTACTTGGGTCGATAGTTTCTTGACATCTCTGGAAACAAATTCGCTCGGTCAAGCCAGAATCCTAAGCCAGTCATAAGCAAATCCCGGCAATTGCAGATGGAATTTAATCTATCTATACATAAAGAATGTGTGTTTGTTTGTTCGTTCGCGATTAACTTTTACAAAACTACTATAGCTATCGTCAGCAATCTTTCTACATTTTTTTTCATTGGTCCTGGGAAAGTTCTACATCCCCTTCCCCCCCCAAAAAAAGGCTAAAATCAGAGATATTAATTAAAAACTCTGAAAATGCTAATTTGCGCCCTCATTTTTTAGAGTGGCAACACTCTCGCATGCTGGAGACAAAAATCTGCTTTATTTCGAGAAGTGTTGCTGTTGCTCACTTTCAAATCTTAGAGTTTCAAAATCTTAGAATCTTAGAATTGAGTAAAACTTCTAAGTTTTACAATGAAATAAAAATAGCGTTGTTAAACATTAACTACATTATTCCCTATTCCAAAAATTCGTGAAAAGCTATTTTGGCTGTTCCCATCTTCGTACGACTTTAATCAGCTGAGATATTAATTAAAAATCTGATGTGTACACCACATGACTTCCTTGTACGGAATATTAAATTATACGCATTTTTTCTTTCATTTCATTTAAACTTATTGGATTTAATTAAATCTACTTCGCCGACAGCGCGTAAACCACACTAGATGCATTCTTTAAAATTCACTCTAATTATTTGTTTACCATAGCGACACTCTGGCGCTAGATTCACTTAACAGTATTAATAATTATATAACAGTTAACTTATATATTTCGTTCATATTATAACTTATAATGCACAAAATTTATATCATTTAAAGAATAGAATTATCTAATCGTTACCACATGTTCTATTCAAATACTATAATAAAGCTAGAATGATGTAGAAATGAAATTAAGCAAACAAAACAAAAAAGAAACGGTTTTTCACAGACGACTGAATATTTCTCATTCAATTAATTCAGTTCTCACTTCGCGAGAAGGCAAAAATACATGAAAACTTAAAATATCTATATTAAAAATTACGAAGTAAATCTTAAACACTTATTTCCTCGAAAAATTCCAAAAGAATTAGCATGATTTAATTGGCAATAATAATAAATGCGTTATCTTTGTTGTTCCGAAGCTAAAGTTTCTCTAGATTGGCAACAATCCACTAGTCTCCTGTTTTTAAATGTAAACATCAATGGCCGCCATTAAAAAAGGCTTAGCGGCACTTAGATACTCTAAACTTGTTGATAATTCTAAAAATATTGCATACAGATTTACTGAAGGCATAAAAACTTTAACCGGAAGATAAAAAACAACATAATACATCTTTTTAAAGCAAAAAATGTCAATTTACAAACATATAAGAGTAAAGAAACTGAGATCACTGAGCCGGGTAACAGAGTGGATATATATATAAATATATTATATATGTTTGGTGCGGCCGATTGCAACCAAAATACACATCTACATGTTATAGCACATCTACATGTTATAGCAGTCCTATATACAAAATTTCAACGTCCTGAGGCTACTCGTTTCACGAATGTTTGACGGATAATAACGGGTTCCAGGTTCTCTCCGTATCAAATAATGCCTACTATCGCGTTTTAGACTAAACCTGGACTCATCCGTAAAGATAATAGCCCTCCATTGCTCAGGCATCCCAGTGGACATGTTGTCGTGCCCACTGCAAACGGTCCCTCCTATGGTGTGACTTGAGCAGCACACAAATGGTTGTTCGCCTCGCATACAGACCACCTTCGTGAAGCGTTCTACGCACAGTTGACGTTGACACCAACCTTCCGGTGGCTGCAGCAAGGGAGGATCTAAGAAAAGTCGGAGTAGCGGTTCTATTCCTGAGTGTACATAATGTCAAATATCGGTCATCGGCGCTCGTCGTAGTAGTTGGCCGTCCTTGGCTGAACCTCCTAGGTGCCGAATCTGTGATTTGAAATTGCCTCCAAATACTATGAACTACAGAAGGACTCACATTTAGTCATCTGCCCACTTCTGTTCGACTTTGTCCTGCCTCTAGTCTCCCAATGGCTTTCTGTCGTAGTTCTGCAGGCAAATGATGCCTGGAGATCATTGTTACGAATTGGCTATCTCAGATTTCTGATGTTATTATCACAGTGAAATATGTGGGCTTGCTCTTAAAGATGGACTTTTATGCTCCTCGCAGATGACGTATTCCGAGTGCAGCGCCACTATTTTGCATATTGGAGTTTTACTCAGCTGCTCTTACTTGGCAACATATTCAAATTTTACACTGTTTGGCTTATTTTTGAGAGAGTTATCGCTATTTTTGTGATTTTTCCTTAATTTATGATAACCAGTGTATAAATTTATCTTGATAAAGTTAATGGTGCTCGCCGTCCAACAGATAGTCTAGAATGTGCTTTTAGGGACAAAAAGGTTGGGAAGCCTTGTTCTAGGGACATTTCTTAGGCTTGCTTATAGTTTGCATTCAGAATAAACTCTCGCTGATAATGATGAGATTTTGTGGTAGCTTATATCTCTATACAATTCCGCTCTTTTTAAGTTTTTTCAAATAGCAATTGATATTTTCAGTGTTTTGATATTTTCTGTAGGTACCACGCTATGTTCATAAAAAAGAAAAATTGGAAACAGTTTTTAAAACTACGGTTTGTACTACAGTGTTAGACAACAGGCAAAAAAGACGGTTTAACAAGAAAGGGCATAATATTCAACTATTAATCACAGACTACAACAAATCTTCAAAGTGAATTGGTTGATAACATGGAGATTGATCCAAACAGCGGTCTGGAGAATAACAAAATCCCTCAGTAATGCACATGCTCTATGCATAGGCCTTCTCGTCAGCCAGGAGGTTGCAGCTTACTCACTCAAGCACTGATATGCCTAATGTTATGGCCAACGAGCTTGAGTATACTTTCAAGCCCAGTCCAAATTTTGACCCGGACCACCAAACGGAAGTAGAATGCTTCCACGACAGCATACAACATGCCAATAATTACAGTCATATCTTACCTAACTGCCCCAGAGAAATTAAAGATTAAACAACTTATAAGATCTGGTCTTCTTCCGTAGCCTACAATTAGACCAGAACTCTTAAAAGACAAGTGGGGTCATTTTACGGTGGCTTTATAAGTACCACAAAAAAGGGAAAGGTGTAAAAGACCCTTTTATTAATCCAAATAAAGTTTAACAAACGGCATCAGCCTTGCTTAAAAAAGGCCAACATTTTAAGCTTTAAATTAAAGATAACGGATAAATTAAAATTAATGAAATTTAAGTATAGCCTAACCGGCTTCGCAGTTTAACTAGCACGCAACATGGATCTGACCGAAGTCGGCGTAGACAATAACTTAACGTCGCAGAATTCAAATCCAGATAATCAACGTTAGCAACGTGGCTTTCAACCAGGTAGAACACGCTCTGATTTCACCCTCCAAAACCTTCTTTATATACTTTGCTATAATTAAAAATAGAAATCGCGTAAAGTTTTATTTAAATTAAAAATATTTTCTGAATATTTTGGGACGAAATACGAATAAAATAAGTATGAATGGGAAACGAATGATCCGAATCAAAGCCAAAAAGACCAAGCCCCTCCGCATTAACAATGAAAAACCACAAATTTCATGTGCCAGATGAAAAGAAACTAAATAACGCTGGACATATTCCGGTGATATTTAGATCCGATCAGCGTACATTTTGTAGCACAAGGAAGAAACCTCATAGAACAAGATGTATGTGCGAAACGTGCGATGTGGGTCTGTGCATGTACCAAAGAGACAAAACATGCTTTGAACAGTGTCACAAAAAATTGTTCTTTGAAATTAAAAAAAAACACTGAGAGTTTTTTTTTTTCCTTATTTTACCGAGTTTTTTAATCCATTTAGCCAAACATCCTTATTATGTAGGAACTGCTATAGAAAAATTACATAAATGTTTATTTTTTAATTTTTCCTGACGATTTACTTTGTAAAATAATGTAAAAAAATTAAATATTATGCAATTCCTACATACATTTTTTTTTTTAAATTCGTAAATTTCGTCATTTATTGGAAACGCGCACGGAGAAAAGTAAGTTTCCCCCCCCCCTACTACCTAGGTAAGTTTCAAAGTCCTAGACGCGCGGTGGTTTCACAATGCGACCACCACCCACAGAACAATGGGCAAGAGTAGATTTTTTTTAAATTCATGTATTATATGTCTCTAGGATCATAATATTCATTTTCTAGAGTTTTTAGTTAAACAAATTATAAAAATAATATCGCGCGCGTCAAAGGGTTAAGTATATCCTTCGTTTTAATAAATTTGAATATCGCGTGCGCTGGAAATTGACCTTTTGGCAGGGAAATAAAACGAGGTTTGATAGGAGAGGCTTACATAAAATAATAGGTTAATTAAAATAAGACCTTATAAACTAAACCCTAAAAAAACACTTAATCGATAATCGTGTTCTCAAAAAGCTTCCTTGTCAGGTCATTCTCATAGTTAACCTCATTAATCCAGGCCTTCTCCTCAGTTATATATCCCATTCCAATAGAAACCAGTAGTTATCACCCTCGTGAAACCTGGAAAGAATCAAAAGAAGCCTTCTAGCTACAAGACTATAAGCTTTCTTCCCAGAATGGGCAAAGTCTGTCCATACTTGCCTGATACTTAGTGATACAGAATATGGATTCAGGACGAAACACAGCGCTGTCCATCAAATTATCAACGTAACAGAGTTCACTGCAGAGGCTATCATCAAAAAGACAGCTGTTGCGACATGCTTTCACAATTTCGAGAAGCCATTCCACAGGCGATAAAAATTATCCGAAACCGTAAGTTGTTTTTAAGATATTATAATCACGCCACTCGTGGTTTCAAATTGTAGAGATATTAGATTATTTTAAAGCAGGAGACGGGAAAAATGAGCAATGCCCTTACTGGGACTCGAACCTTGGACCTTGTAATGTATTTTGCAGTAATTTACAAAACAGACAATCTTCTTAGTAGAACATAAATTTTATTTCTAGTTCACGGTGATAGACAAATTTTATACAATTCTTAAGTGGCAAAATTTTCATCCTACTCCTAGCTGTAAAATCTTCAGAATCTTAATCTCTTTAAAACAATATCTCACGTTACTGAGTAACGGTTTAATACAAATATGGCGTTGCCACTTCAACAATACTTATATTTATTTATTAAATAACAAGATATTAC